ATACCCTCTAGGTCTGGCTTGTTCTGGGGAGCAGTGAGAGTCACCAAAGCCAAACACTAAATGCCTAACTTTCAGTGGCTTCCAGTCTCTCAGCCCCAGGGGACTCCCACCATTCAGACACCCCATGGCTGGGCTGCACAGGCAGGCTGCTCCTGGGGGCTGTCGTGGCAGGTCCTGAGGGTGCTTTGTTGAACTTCAAGGACCTCCAGCCCCAGCCACCAGCTCCAGATTCTTAGGGTATGAACTCTGGCTCTGCCCCTTTCAGAGGCTCTGGACATGATCTTCTCAGCTGCCCAGCACTCCAATGCAGCCATCACTGAGATGGTGAGCAGCCTGCCCTCCCCTGGAGCCCTGTCCCCCTCCCTGCAGGTCTCAGCCTGGTCCCACCCATGACACCTACCTACCCCACTGCTGCCCTCGCTCTCATACCCCCGTCCCCGTCCCCACAAGGCAAGCCTTCCAGAAGCAGGTGAACCCTGCCCAGCCTTGGCTGAGGATGCACCCAACCCCCCAGGAGCGGCTGCAGGACCTGTGGGAGGTATACCAGCGCCTGGGCCTCGAAGATGACATCGTAGACCCCTCCAACACCCTGCTCCGCGAGGGCCCGGTCCTCAAGATCTCCTTCCGCCGCAGCGACCCCCTAGAGCGCTACCTTTTCTTGGTAGAGATGTGCTGGGAGCCCCTCTCCATACTGGTGAGGGAAGTCCATGGACCACTCTGGCCCGAGTCATGCTGCCTGGCCTCTACCTGGCACTGCAGGGGGACAGGGAAGCGGTCACTTCTCTGTCCTTTTCTGCTTTGGCACTCAGGTGACTTTGGACAGGCCACCTGCTGCCTCCAAGCCTTGGAGATTTCCAACCCACAGGTTTCCCAGACATGTCGTAGGAAACAACAGAATCAGAGTTTGAACTCAGTCTGTGAATTTGAACTCCAAAGCCTGTGGTATTAATCTGTGCTCTCGAGAGAGCACAGCAGAAGGGAGTAAGGTTAGCTACTAGGAAGAACTGCCCTGGGTTTGCACAGAAGAAGCCAGGGGTTTCCTGAGATCTGGAAAGGTGGTCCTGCCTGGAGGCCTGGAGGAGGCAGCTAGAACCTCTTATAAACCCCTGCCATACTGAGCCCCTGTTGAGAAAGGCCTTGTAGGTTTCTGAGGTCTGCTGTGGTCCCTTGATGCCCGCAGGTAGGGTGGCCCTTCAGTAACCATCCTAGGGGCATTGGGAGCTTGGCAGCCCCTTCCTCATCACCTACATCATCACCTGTGACGTCCTGTGAGCTGGCCAGACTGTGGTCAAAGGGGAGGGGGGTCCAGTGGTGCTCAGCCCAGCCTCGGGGAGGCCCCACCCGGTCCTGCCACGGTGCACTTACGCCTGTGTCTCCTGCAGTTTAACAACATGCTGCTGTACTGTGTGCCCAGGGTGATCCAGGTGGGCGCCCAGTTCCAGGTGAGGACCCGCATCGACGTGGCCGGGATGAAGGTGAGAGGCCCCCTGCACACCACTGGCTTCACCCCAAGGGCGGGACTGAGCACAGGGAGTAACAGGAGGGGCCCGCCAGGTTCCCAATCAGAGAACCAAACCCTCGCAGGGCCGGGGCAAACGTGGAGATGGGAGAGTGTGGGGCAAGAGCTCTCCCATCTGGGTTCCCAGCCCTCCTGCCCAGTCCTCCCCAGCTTCCCACAGGCCTGGCCCTCCCTTTGGGGCAGGCCAGGAGCCAACTCGGCGTTTCTCTGCTTTCCCTACTGTTTATACCACTGATTCGAAAACTTTAATGTGTGCACAAAACCTCCGGGCATCTTGCAAAATGCAGGTTCTGAGTCAGGAGATCTAGGGCGGCCTGAGGACCTGCATTTCTATCCGGTTCCCACTTAAGATGGGCTGACAACTGACCCCACCTGCAGGATAGTGAGAATTAAATGAAATGAGATGTGTCCTGGGCAGTGTATGCTGATACTGTAGGAGCACAGATCATGTTTTGAGTAGGAAACGTCTCCAGCGTCAGCACAGCGGCTGGCTTGTGTGTGTCCCCATCTACCTCGTCCAGAGATTGCAGCAAATGAGCAGTAGTCCATCATGGCGCCCATTGACTGGGTGTCCCCATGGGGGACCATCAGATCCTCCTAACCGCCCCATGATGCCAAGATGCAGGGTCTGTTAGAATCTCCTGGATTTTTTTTTTGAGATGGAGTCTCACTCTGTGGCCTGACTAGAGTGTAGTGGCACAATCTCGGCTCACTGCAACCTCTGCTTCTGGAGTTCAAGCAATTCTCCTGCCTCAGCCTCCCAAGTAGCTGGGACTACAGGCTTGAGACACCATGCCCAGCCAATTTTTGTATTTTTGGCAGAAACGTGGTTTCACCATGTTGCCCAGGCTGGACTCAAACTCCTGACCTCAAGTGATCCACCCACCTTGGCCTCCCAAAGTGCTGGGATTACAGGCGTGAACCACCACACCTGCCCTGTTTTTTATCTTTTAAAATTTTTTAGATTTTGCCAGGCACGGTGGCCCACACCTGTAATCCCAGCACTTTGGGAGGCCAAGGGGGGCGGATCACGAGGTCAGTTAGTTTGAGACCAGCCTGACCAACATGGTGAAACTCCATCTCTACTAAAAATACAAAAATTAACCAGGCATGGTGACAGGCGTCTGTAATCCCAGTTACTTGGGGGGCTGAGGCAGGAGAATCACTTGAACTTGGGAGGCGGAGGTTGCAGGGAGCTGATATCGTGCCACTGCACTCCAACCGGGCCACAGAGCAAGAGTCCATCTCAAAAATATAGATAGATAGATAGATAGATAGATAGATAGATGGATAGATAGATAGATTTTTACTACTTAAAAAATATAATTTTACTACTTAAACAGTATAATCTGTAGTATACACATTCTAAAATCAAACAATATAAAAAATGTATGCCGGGAAAGTCTCCTCCCCACTCTGTCCCCTAAGTCCCCTTCCTGAAGGCAGGCCTTGTGTCTTGTGAGGCCTTCCAGAAGTGGTCTTCGCCTAGCAAACAAATAATATATAATAGGATTGTGTCATTTATACCAGAAGCAGCGGTGTACTCTACACATTTTTCTGGACTTTGCTTTTTTTTTTTAACTAACTGCAAATGCTGGAGACCGAGGTGCCCCTGCACTTGAGAGCTTCCTCATCCTTCTGCCCAGCTACATTGCACCCCACTGTGCAGATGCTCCAGAACTTCTTCAACCAGTCTTCTGCTGAGAGACACTAAGATTGTTTTCAGTTGTCAGCGGCTGCAAATGAGGCGGCAGTGAATAGCCTGGTACAGCCTGCCTGTGCGCGAGTGTATCTGCAGTTAGCCCCATTTTTAAAAATGAGAAAACCAGGGTCCTGGAAAAGCTTTCTAACTTAAGTAACTTGCTTGAAGGTCATATTGCAAATGCTAGTTCGAGTGACCAAACCAGGATTTACAGGCAGGTGTAACAAAGGCTGGCATTTCTGCCTCTAATCACCACGCTATGCTGTCGCCTATGAAGGCTTCAATCGAGGGGGTTAAAGCCTTTGGTGGAATTTCTGGCATTGCGGAGGACACGGCCAGAGAGGCTTCCCGACCGCCGGTCTCTGCTGGCTCCTGAGTCCTGGCGTGTCCTGAGGGCTGGGGCTGAAAGAAGCAGAGTCTGGTCCTGCCCATCGGCACTCTTCCCTTCCCCCATTCCCCATCACCCTCACCCCTTTCAGCCCCAGTAGGGAGCTGCGGGCAGGAGCTGAACCAGAATGCTCTCCCCTCTAGGGACCCCAGCAAAAGAGCCCTGCCCCTGCTCCTGACTGGGGTTACCTGGCATCTGGAGCAATCCAGGGCCTGGGGGTGGGGTGCAGCCTGGGAATGTTGAAGGCTGATGAGGGAGCATGGGTTCACAGCTCACCCCACACCTGGGCTGACTGAAGTCTTTCAGGAGTGCAGCACGGCCCTGGCATCCAGCTTTCCATCCTGAAGGGACCAGAATGTCCCATAGACCAGGGCGTGTACAGGCTTGTGTGTCTGGAGTCTGTGGTGAGTGAGGCTGAGAGAAGCAGGTTTATAGAGAGCTACAGACAGAGAAGTGGAGACAGGCGGCCCTGCCAAAGGACGGTCAGAGACCCGGGCATAGAAAAATAGAGATCGACAGAGAGGAAGGCTAAGAAATAGAGAAACCAAACCAGAGTCACAGAGAAAACAGAGAGAGCCACGCCTGAGAGCATCAGAAGCTTTGGGTGTGTGTTGAGGGCTCCTTGGCCAGGCGTGTGCTGCGTTTCTGGAGTCCGCTGGTCTGATACTCCGGCAGCCGCACAGCACCCTCTCCTGGACAGCATGGGCCTAGCAGGTGCAGAGCTGTCCACTCACCTTACATCTGTGCAGGAACCATTTCCTGAGTCTGAGGTTTGGAGGCAAATCTTGCCTTTAACCATCATGATGGTTCCCATTGGCCTATGGCTCCCTGGCCTCCTCCTTCCTAGGTGTCAGGGAGGCCTAGTTCACAGCAGTGGATTCTCCCCAAGGTCTGACTTGATCTTAGTATTTTGCCATCCCACACAGGGGCAGCCTGGGAAGAAGGAAGGGGTGTGGACACACATGCCCAGGGGCTCCATGTACAGTTGTGCAGGTTGTACACTGCAGAAGCATACCTCATCTAAGGATGTCTTCTGCCCCCAACTGCAGATTAGCAGACTGTGATACAATAGACGATATATTTATAGTGAGAATTGTCCGGCAGATGGCAGTCAAATGTCTTGTTCCAACAGTATCTAGGTATTAAGCCAGTTTGCCAACAGATGTCAGTAAAGTGTTTTGAGGGAGGCTGTCCTTTTCTAATGAAGAAAGGTACTGTATTGACTAGCAGGGGGCTGAATTGACCCAGACTTGGGGAGAGTGGTTGAGGCTCAGCTCAGCAGAGCCCGGGAAACTCCTGTTGAAACCTGATGGGGAGCTGGAAGCCTCTGTATGAACATCCCAGGGGCAGCCTGGACCCTCAGGTCAGGAGCCCCCAGTTCCCTTTTTTCTTGTCAAAAGCATGATATTTCTTCCTACTTCTGGACTGTAAACCTTGGATTTCTCTCTTCTTTTCCCGTTCCCCCTCTCCCTGACCCAATTAGAAGCTTCTTCTCTCTCTCCAGTGCACCTGGGCAGGCCCGGACCATTTATGATGTTGCTCTAGAAGCTTCTTCTCTCTCTCCAGTGCACCTGGGCAGGCCCGGACCATCTATGATGTTGCTCCCTCACTGGCCGCTGGGCTACAGGTGTGTCCCATTCTGCCCAGATCCAGCCTCTCCTTGCACACAGCTTCTGGGGCGCTCTTTCCCAAACACCTCTTTCCACATAACAGGCTCCCCGCTGCCAAGGGCATCAAGTCCAAATCACATCAACCCCTTCTAGAGCACAGCGCTCTCTGAGTTATGGTGAGCCGCCCTGGAAGTATGCAAAGGCCTGGCCGTCACATGGCAGGGAGGCAGCAGAGGAGCTCAAGTGTTGGAGGAATTCAGTGGCAATGAAGTTCCCCCACGCAGAGGCTCGTGTGCTCTCGACCTGTGTCTTAGGTTCTCTTTACAAATCTCTCTCCACACTGTCTGGGGGAAGTGTGCTTACAGGACCCTGGGGGTAGGATGGAAATAGATGTTCTTCCATCTTACCCATGGGGGCTGAAAATCTGGGATGGAATCCTTTTGCCCTTTAGATGCTGTGTGACCTCAGGCAGATCTCTTGCCCTCCCTGAGCATCTATTTCCTCATCTCCCAAATGAGGATGATAATATCTGCTTCTTAAGATTGCTGTAAAGATTATTTTCTTTTCTTTTTCTTTCTTTTTTTTTTTTTTTTTT